GATTTTTTTATGATATCCTTTGAATATGACGCTAAATCACGAAGAGACAACTTCGTAATTGGGAACCTAGACCAAACTAAAAAAAGAAAAAGAAGACTATCCTAACACGTTTCATATAGTCACATAATCACGTAAGCATGCCATAAGTCAAGATTCACGCAATGTCGTTCTAAGGTCAAAAAGGCTTGGGTGTCCAAAGGTACCATATCTTAAGAAACGACGCACAAATCAATAACTTAACGTGTTGACTCCTGACATCACCCTTCTAACATTTTGTTGGAGATATGGGTGGGATGATTGTTATTGATTTCGGGATAGAAGCCTAGTGTTTGCGATCCCTAATCAATGACCCAATCCCCAATGGTTTAAGTGTGCTATGCTTATGCATGATGCAATGTTGCTTGTTTGGTTTTTACTCTTGTGTAAAAGGAAGACATTATGCGTTCAAGTCTCGCTCTCTAACTAGAGATTATCCAAGTTAATTCTCGTTACAACCCATAGGCAACCTAGTGTTGGAAACCTTGGACCATAACTACGAATTTATTATGTAGCCTCTAAGTCCCCAATAGAGTCGCCACTGTAAGAAGGGTGATCCCATCGTAAGGGGTACTCTCCTTAAATTCCCATGACCACTTAAAAGTCTAGGACTTCACACTTGTTAGGGTGTAGTAGGATTTGAATTCTTGACTGTTTGGGGGACCTTGAATTAGAATTGATTCTATCATTACGCTTTTTTGTAAGAAACAAGTAGGGAGTCGCCAATGAGTTTTAGGAAAAACTCATAAACCTCGTTCATGTCTTTCTTCCATGTAGAGTTCATGGAATAATTAACACGAATCATAAGTTTACCCATGCCCAAATTGGTCTATAAACCAGAAATGAGTTCGGGAGCGAGGGTACTAAAATAACGTTCCTTTTAGAGGGGAATCGTTATCCTAGCCCAAGTGCGGCCCCTACTAGCTATTTCTTTTTTACAATTTCATCACTAAACAATATATGCAACGTGATACCTAAAACTATGTTAGTTGATTTTATTACATATTAATTCACGTAGTAATTACATCGTAATGTCGTTATTCTTATTTAAACAAATTCGTTAAAAGGACAAGAAAATAAACAATATCTCCTTGGCTTAAGTGATCAACCAACAATTATTTAATTCAATTCTAATCTTTATTTAACGCAAGATACTATGTGGAATTGATTAATTAATTATTTTAAAGGTGATCAAACAACACTAATTAATTAAGGTTCTTTTAAACAATAAAATAAATGTGATTTAACTAAGTGCTTGGGAATTTACCACTTCTCTTTGCTAGATCTCCGTTTAGAACACTTATGGACTCCTTGTTGGGGAACCTCAACCGTAGTAACAAAATATCAAAAGGGTGAGTGTTTTGGACAAGAGGGGCTAGGTTATACAAGTTCACAAGTATTTCGCCAGAGTTTTAGGTTATTTTTCTGTCTATTTAAGCCTCGTTTTAGCTCTTATTTATAGAGAATGATTAGGTTTAGGGTTTCAAGCATTCTACCGCAGCTGGTGTCGCGCGCAACAGGATGAGTTGCGCGCGACATCCTAGCGCAAGTGATTAGGTTGCGCTGCTATAGGCAACGTAACTAATTTTCTTGCGCGCGGCTTTAGAGTAAGGTTCGATTTTATATTTTCCGTATAATTCTGAATCTTCCGTAGCGCAACTCTAGAGGCTGCGTTGGGTGTCATGCACAACTAAATTATTTGCGCGCGGCAGCCAAGCGCGACTCTTTGAGATATGCGCGACTTTTTCTGCGGCAGCACTAAGATTTAACCTATGCGCTCCTAAATCCGTTATTATAAGGTTTTAACCACGGGATTAAGCCTAATTATGATCGGCTTTAGTTAGATGGACCTTTGTTTTGGCTTTTTCTTTCATTTGGGCTAGTCTTTTGTGTTTTGTGGCTTAACCAGTTATCCATAAGTATTCTTCACTTTGATCCAACACGAAGATGGTTTTATTTATCGTCATTGCACTTCCTTTCGGGAGAGGAGGCCAAAAGTAGATGTCTACACCATGTAAAAATAATTTGCCAAAGGGACTCACATAGACTATGATTGAGTTGACCAACTGACTTGACCAAGCTTGACTTGTTATAACATGATATGTGTATAACTTGTGGTTATGTGTGTATATGGTGTGTATGTGTGCAGACACAAGGAACCGAAAATGCAAAAGCAAAAATTTTCCCTTTTTGTCATGACTTTCTCACGAAAAAAAAGGCGTGAAAACTGAACTTTTATTTTCGAACTTCCCTTGATGAGAAAATTTATAAAAAGTTTTTCAAATTCCCCGACATAAATGACATGAAAAAGGGAATAAGTTTTTAACTTCCTTATTGAGCAAGACGAAATGAATCGCAGGGATTGAATTGCTTTTCTTGAAGATAATGTATGCATGATGCATGTTCTTAGGTTAGGAGGCTAAGGACAATTACATCATGTGACATGATAGATGAATCAACTTAGGTCAGGTATCTAAGCATCATATATGGTGTAAAGAAACGATCTTGAACGTCACTTAGGTCTTGAGGCAAAGCGCATATAGAGATGAAGTGATTGATGTGTATTGCATAATGAATGTTGCTTTGGTCAAGGAGTTAATCACGATATGCGATGCATGAAACAATGAATAGTGCTTAGTGATGAGTGTCATTTATGGCACTCATTTGGCTTCTTTTAAGAAGATTTTATATGATTTTTGTATCTCTTTTTACTCTTTTTTTTCTTGTTTTACTTACATTTTCCTTACTTTGCTATTTCCTTAGAAGTTTTCTTATTTTCTTGATTTTCTTTTATATTTTGCATTTTCTTATATGGAGAAACGAGGCCTCTCTCTTGCTTTTCTTGTTTACAAGATGTTGGCGAGCTTTTAGAATCTCAAGTGTATTCACATTTGAGTTTTCAAGTGAAGAGAGAGGTCCCGTTTCTCCATTTGAAGCCCAAGAGCAAAGGATTTCAAGAGCTTGGTCATTTAAGTTGCGCCTTCATGCTCACACGGCATGAAGGAGTAGTGTCGAACCCACCAAGAAGTTCTCAATTTACCGCCTATTGCATCATGGCTCATCCGTAACTTGCGAGGACAAGCTCGGCCTCACCAAAGGACTTCCTATGCTCCAGCTGCGCGGGCGCTCACGAGAGAGGAGCGGCCGCGCCAGGCTTATGCGCAACAGTGGAGCGGCCGCGCCCCTTCCTTCTCCCTGCCCCGTACCCTTTTTATAGCGGCCGCACATACTTGAGAGGGGCCGCGATCTTTGACATTATGTTTGGAACGTCTAACTAACTTCCTTATAGTTAGTTTTGCGATAAATAGAATTAGCTAGATTTATTGAGAGAGAGGTTTTTGGGAGAAAGAATGAGAATTAGACTTGATTTGATTTTTAGAGAGAAAAACTCTTTATTTTGTGGTATTGTCCTTAGATTCTAGAGAGAGAGGCTTGATAATTGATGAGTGTTCTATTGAGATCTTCATACCTCTTTGATATTGATCAAAGTTTTATATGAATTCTTTACTTTTCAATGCAATTTGATGTTTGATTTTGTTATATTGTTGAATTTCTATGTTTAGCTTGAATTTGATTGTTGAAGTTGAATTACAATGTTGATTATTAGATTGATATTTTCTTTTTTATTGCATTTCAATTTCACCATGATAAGTTAGTAGTTGATTATCTTAGGAATGTGGTAAAGCATGTTTTGGTGATAATTTAATGCTAATTTAGGGCTTTTGATTGAATTGTTGATGTGATTAAATTGGTTAATGTAACTAGTGCATGTGCTTGGTTTGAAAAAGAGTAGCTAAACTTTAGGATCATGTTAGATTACATTATAGCCTTCAATGACACGAACAATTGATTTGAGTGCTATTATTATTGTTTGATCTCGATTTGTGATTTTCCTATTGAAGTCATTTGTAAAGAAATCTAGCTTGGCCATAGGAAATAGCCTTTCCAGTGATTATGATTGCTTCTTCTATTTTCCCTCGCACCGCTTTATTGATTGAATCCTCCCGAATTAACAAGATTGTTAAAAAGCATGTGGATCCTAAGTTCCCTAGTGTTTGATATTTAATTCTACCTTGGGATTCGACCTAGACTTACCCTATACATCGGGTTGGTTTAGTTTTATGAATATTGTTTTGGCCGAGAAATCTAGACCCCGACGACCTAGGTTTACCCTGCATCAAAAATGGCGCCGTTGCCAGGGATGACATGGTGATTGGTATTGTTGTTTGAGGCTATTTCATTTATTTGAAAAATACAAAAAGATTTATCTTTCTTTTGGGCTACATTTATAGCCGTGCTATTGATATTTGCTTTGAGTTTTTGTATGTGTAGGGCAAGAGGACGAACTCTAGTGCCATTTAATCTGAAAATTGAGAGAACCATAACAAGGATAAGGGTTGCTAATCATTCTTCAAGTCCAAGCGAGCCTATAGATTTGAAAGTGGGATTGTTCCACTAACGACACCGACAAATGATTTTGAGATAAGGCCGGCAATGATCACTTTGATTGAGAGGAGACAATATAGTGGTTCTAAGCATAAGATCCCTCTCAACCGCCTAAAGAATTCGAGAAATATTGCAATACAATCAAGGTCAACGAGGTTTCTCAAGAATTCATTTGCCTAAAGCTTTTTCCCTTCTCGCTTATTGGGCGTTCTTTAGAATGGTTGGATAAGGAGGTGAAGCCTAATTCTTTGAGGACTTTGGATGAAGTTACAAAGGAATTCCTATCACGTTTCTACCCCCAAAAGAAAACGGCCGAGGCGAGATCCCTCATTCAAAATTTGAAACAAAAGCCGAGCAAGAGTCTTTATGAGGCGTGGGAAAGGTACAAGGAGTACCAACGATAATGTCCTCATCATGGGATTCCAACATACCAAATCAATAAAATTTTCTATGGAGAATTGAGTCCACAAGTCCAATCTTGTTTTGATGTCGGTGCCGATGGCCCTATCATGAATAAAATGAAGGAAGAAGTTATGGATTTAATTGAGGAAGTGGTGAGATACCATATGGATTGGCAAGAAGGTGAGAGAGAGCCGACGAGCAAGAGTGGTTCAGCGTTCTATTCAATCGACCATCTCAATGCCATCAATAAATTGTCCTCAAACATATCAAATTTGGGAAAGGAGGTGACCTCAATAAAAGCAAAACTTAAGAGTGCTTCCTCACAAGCACCTATTCTTTCCTTCCACAATAAGGGGAGAGGTATATCTTCTAACTCTACTCCTCTTTCAACTTCAAATAATATTCCAAGTGGATGTGTGTTTTGCGATGTTTGTGGGTCTTATAACCACGATTCTTCTAGTTGTCCACATGCATTTGAGAGTTATGATGAAGGTGAGACCAATGAGTATGATCAAGTGAGCTTTGTTTCATATAACAACAATGGACCAAGGTTTGATGGTCCAAGGAATTTTGGGAATAGAAATGCTCACCAACAAGGTAATTTTGACAATTACAACAATGGTGGCTATAGAAACCAAGGAAACCAAAATTTCCGAGGTAACTATAACAATCAAGGTTATAATAATCAAAATCAAGGTCAATGCCAAAACTGGGGTAATTGGAATAATCAAAATCAGGGGAATTTTAAAATTAACAACCAAAGGGGACCCCCACCTGGATTTTCTCCAAAGACCCAAGGAAATGGTAAGAATTTCTATGCTCAACCTTCAAATTTCAAGACTACCTTGGAAAAGATCATCGAGAACCAAACAAAGATTTTGAACACTTACATGGCGGTGAGTGAAATAATAGTTTAACGAAATGATGAAACACAAAAAGATGCTTGAAACACAAATCGCTCAATTGACTAACACCTTGAAAGAGAGTGTGAATGCTATCCCTTCTTCTTTACCTTCACGAGGAGTTGAACCTAAGAAACCCATGTATTCCATCACCACAAGGAGTGGGAAAGTGCTTGATGAGAGAGTTTCTAGGGAGAATGAGGAAGATGAGAGGATGAGTGATTCATGTTAGGAAAAAGAGAATAATGTGTCAAGAAGTGTGAGCAAGGAGGAAAATCAAGAGAAAAAGAAGAGTGATGTGTCTAGCAAGGTGATTGAGAATTATAATGAGAAGAGTGTTGAAAATAGAGGAAACAAGATGAGGATTTCAAACCAAGACTTCCATATCCCCAAAAGTTCAATACTTACAAGTTGGCAACTAGCATGACCCCTTGAAATCTTCAAGTCTTCAAAAGGTCTTCATTTGCAACTTCATGGCGTTGTCTTCTAAGTACCCCGTCTTCAAGACTTGACCAAAATATTACAATTGCTAGTATCTACGATTAGGACTAATCTAAATATTAAGGTACAAAAATACTCAACAGTTCGCAGACCGTATTTAGATTTACAAAAATACATCACGGATCACAGTCCGTATTTTCTATCCTAATCGGGCCCCACTAGTTTCCATTTCATAAAACCTGTGAGAGAATTTACATTCCATTCATCCATTCACTATCTCTGAATGGCCCATACATTTTACAACGATAAACAAGAAACAATGCATAAAACGCGCGAGAACTAGTAACTAATCTAGGTGGTTAATCCAATTAACACGCCAATTAAACTAGTCAAAGTTGTTTAAACCGGTTATGGAAATAACTAAGAGACGCTCCCACTAAATTTCGCATCCAACTTAACTAATCCAATTAATTAAGTCAGTGAACCCAAATATTTGCCAAAATTAATTTTGCAAATGTCGCTCAAAATCCGAGGCCTAGCCTCAAAAATTTTAATTAAATAAACAAAATAATTAAAATAATTAAAACGCCAATTTAAGCAAAATTACGAATTCCAAAATGTCTAAGTGCCTAGCACTAAGACTTGGAGTCCAAAAAATACCCTTATTTACATATTAAGCAACGCTAAAATTAACTTTAAAATAGCATCGCCTTAATACCCCGGGGTTATTGTGCCAATTATGGGATTGTACGTACCGTACAACAAGCACGTAGTATGCCCATGCGCACCCCCGCAACACCAAGCATGCATGTGGGCTGCTTGTGCTCGCATGCGCCACGCCCAGCCCAGCCAAGCGTAGCAGCACGCACAGCGCGCACAACCTTATGTTGCCGCTGCGCCATGCTGCTGCTTGCTGCTGGCAGCGAGCAGCAGCCCACGCCCTTCCTCACACACACAGACGCACAGCACCACGCACCTAAGAACGAAGCGCCCAGCAGCCTCGACAGCCACATATGGGTTGCGTGAGCAGCCCAGCTGGCCGAGAGCTAGCTCGGGGCTCTTAGGCCTCGTGTTGCGTGCTAATGCTTCGAAAATTATCGATTTTTGTGTGTGACATTATAAATCAATTCTAAATTAATTTTAGAATTAATTTTGAGGAAAAATGAAAAATTACAAGTCTAACTTAAATAATTCATCCAAAAGCAATTAACCAAATTTATTTCCAAGAACCATTCTTTAATAAAATTGGTTTAACTTGGTGTAATAAAATAAATTAGGGCAATTCTCACTATTTATTTAATCACTTTAAATTAATCTTGAGATTTTGACAAAATAAAAGGGAGTTGGAAAAAATGAACATAAGTTCAATAAAGACTCCAACTTTAATACTTGTGACTCCATGAAAAATTATATCTTCCAATATGAAGATAAACCAATTTCAATCACAAGTTTTAAACTTTATGATTCCAATCAACTAAAAAATGATTAAATCAACAAAGTTTAACCAAAATTCATGGAATTTAGTAACTCAAAGTTTCAATCACTTATCATAAATAAAGATTGAATCTTTAGTACTTGGAAGCAACAAAGAACAACAATGTCACCCTTAATGCAATTAATTTGCAATTACGTGAAAAAATAAAACCAAACTTTCAAGCACCAATTACTACCAAGTAATCATGCTTAAAGTGGTCTAAAATTGCATATAAATTAAGGAAAGAACCAAATACATAACCACCATAAATATGCAATCAATTTTCAAGGTTAGAAAGACTTAAAATTTTTCGTCAAAACGAAAAATCCCTCGAAAAATGCATTTCTGGTCGTTTTTTGGCTAAAAATCGAGGTCTAAGAGGGTAAAACCATTTCCAGAACGCCTTTTCCACCCAAAATTCACTATTTTTGGGTCAAAATCTGGGTTCGGGAGCTGAAGACAGCTCTAATACGAGGTAAAATTGGAAAAAACTAGTTACTAATCTAATTAGCAACTTAAAACCAGAAAAATTAAGCCATAAAAACACCTTGAAAATATTATGATTTTAAAAATAAACGAGCGAGGCTCCAATACCGCTGTTGGTTCTTGGTGAGTCCGACTCACTGCGGAAATAAACCCAAAAACAAGACCGCACTCGCAATAAATAAAACCATAAACATAATTAAATTAATCACAAGATTAAGATAAGCTAATTACCTTTGACGCGTGCTTCGCTCCAAAATGAACTCTTACTTGAAAGCTTCAAGTCTCGCTCACACGGAGACCTCCAACAAAGTCCACCCGCACCAACAAAACCGACTAGGTCCAATGTCTTGGGGTTAGCAAGACCCGACCAATAAAACCCGAGTAATTATATTGAGTTCAAAGGTTTTCACTACTGGTGATGCCTTTTTCAACTCTTACTCAAGCATCATTCCCAATGCCCATCTTGGGTATTTATAAGAAATGATGGGAGTATCATTTACTCTCCCATCAATGTGGGATAGTATGATTTTTCCATTTTATTTTAAAGCTAAAATAAAATTAATAATCAAGCTGGTAATAAATCAACAAGTGGCAAGCTCATGTGAATGGTTAGGTGAGGACCACTTGAAGAAGGGGGGGACCAAACTTGCTCCCCACTCCCTCTCCCATAACCGGCCACCTCACTCCACACACACTCAGGGACCACAAGCCACATGGCACCCACCCTTGGGCACCAAGGCAGCCAAGGTGGGCTGCCATGTGCTGCTGTCCGTGGCAGCCACGCCTAACAAGCCCAGCAGGCCCAGCACTCGCATGCGGGCCAGCAAGCCCAGCATGCTTGTGCGGGCTGCTGCTGGCCTTGTGCCTTGGCCAGCGCTGCTAGGCAGCAAGCAATGGCCTAGCCATGCTGCTGCTAGCTGTGGCGAGCTGGCGCGCCTAGCGTGCTAGCTGCTGCAGCTTGTTGCGGCATGGCTTGCTAGCCATTGCGCGCACAATGCTGTGCCTAGCATGCTAGCACGCACTAGGCAGCGCCTAGCCTTGCGATGCTAGCATGGGTGCGCTAGCACGCACCAGCCAGCCTAGGCTTGGCTTGGTGCGCATGCTAGCCACCATGCTAGGCCATACGCCCTTAGCACTCAGTTTGCTTGGGCATTCCGATGCTAGGGTATTTTGGTCTTTTGTTGATTTATTACTATTTCTCGTCTCGTCTTTCACTATTTTTCGACTCGACTTCCGACGCTCACTGAATATATTAGCTTTCTAATAATTTTGAACCCACTAACGGAATAGTACACTTGTTCGAAGGACACCATTCCTTTCAATCTCCCACTTGTCCTTCCGGACAAGTGTGCATTTTGTGTACAACCTTTTTCCTATGTCTCTTAATGTCTCTTCATGAACTATAAGGTAAGATTTATTTTGTCATCCTTATTACGTCTAGAAGTGTTTCTCGATTTCGAGTCCGAATGTCAATAAACAGATGATTTCTAAAATCCATCCGAGCACGACCATGCATTTTACAGTCTCGCTCTTCTAGAGGCCTTGTGTACAACAGAGACATCTTCCCTATTTTAGTAGGGGGACATTCCCAGTCTTGTAATGTAGCTTCTCTTACTGAGAGGACCTAGTCGCCCGAGTGTTTCCGTTATAATCCCCTATTACGGCAGACGTTTGACAACATCAAAGCGAACTAGTACTCAAACAAGAGAACTCACAATACTCATGGTCGAGGAAATAGGTTCCGATAGCCATAATGAGAAGTATACTTATGACAAATTTTTTAATTTCTTAAAGTATTCTCATAGGTCGATCCAGTATGGTTCTAAACCAATACCTGTGCAAATGATTTATGACAATCATGTCCTTGTAGCACATGAAACGGTGCTATAAATCAAACTACACACTAATCTCAATCGGTCATTAATCGTCCATTGTTTAAATGACCTTGATTAGGGATAATTTTCGATTACAATATTCAATGTTCACTTAATAGGTGTTTCCTTACCAAGACTGGTGTTGATACCCTATTTTGAATATTCTTAGAATCGAATGGACTCATTATTTAATCCTAAACCACAATTAAATAGCATAACGGAGTAATAAAATATTGCATGAAATTTTATATTACTCCAAAACTTGAATGGTTTTCCTTAGCGTCTTACATTTATTTTTCTCAAAATTAACTAAAAAACTAAACAAGGAAATCAAAGCCAGTCTCCTACATGCTTGATTCCCATTGCCTCAACGTGCTTGTTGTGCTTCACTTGAGGCAAAGGTTTAGTAAGTGGATCGGCTACATTGTCATCCGTTCCAAATTTTCAAATTCTGATTTCACCCTCTGATTTCCATTCTTAAATCATGTGAAATCGCCGCTTGACATGTTTGACCTTCTGATGTTCCCTAGGCTCTCTGGCCTGAGCAATAACTCCATTTTGTCACAATAGAGGGCTATTGGACCCTTTATAGAGGGTATAACATCAAGTTCACCAACGAACTTACGAATTCAAACAGCCTCCTTAGCTGCTTCAGCAGCTGCTAAGTATTCGGCTTCAGTTGTAGAATCTGCAGTTGTACTCTGCTTTGCGCTCTTCCAACTAAACGCCCCTCCATTTAGACAGAACACATATCCAGATTGCGATTTGAAATTGTCTCTGTCTGTCTGGAAGCTTGCGTCGGTATAACCATCCACAACTAAATCCTCTGCACCACCATACACCAGGAATTTATCCTTGTTCCTTTTCAGGTACTTCAGGATATTTTTGGCCGCAGTCCAATGCGTCTCTCCTAGGTCTGATTGGTAACGACTCGTAGCACTCAAGGCATACGATACA